GTACTTTTACTCAAGTATGGAAAGTGAGTACTTTTGCCATCTCTGTCATGTTTATAACAGAGATTAAATGACTCCACTTGTCATTACTTTTTATTCTAGGTTATGAAGTATGTGTAAAACAGCGCCCTCTCATGGTGGTTGGACATCAGGGCAGTGAGCACATGGATCTGTTCTAAAAAGTTGATAAAATGTTGTATTATTGTCTAATATACTTTATGTGTTAAGATGTGTTTGTATCAATCAGGACCGTAATGAGATGAATAATGTGCATTTGATAAGATAAGGTTTTGATGCAAGTTTCTATAAAAAGTTTATGGTGATGGGAACTAGTACGTCTCAGAGGAAACTAATGAAATACAAGGAAGGAATAAGGAAACTAATAATAATACATTTAACTTTGACTCAAACTCCATGTAACAAACTACACCAACTTCATGTCAAAGTAGAGCATCACATCCAGGAAACAGGTGAACACACCTGAAGTAATGACTTTATGCACATTTTTGAAAAATGTGTACAAAGCTGTCCAAAAAATGAAAACAAAAATACACATATTTGATTTAGTTTTATAATAGTGGCTCTTTTATAGAAGTATTTGAAGCATAACATTTGCTGACTAATAACGACATTATCATCTACTGAGGTGGATCACTTTTCATTATTATTCTACTTAAAAATACCAGAACTGGATCTTACAATGTGGCTGCATTATGCTTGATAGATCCCTTCAAGCCTTTCTGTGTTTGTGGTTAACGATGCACTGTTCGTGACGCCACTAAAAAACCCCTGAGCTTCAGAGGAAGAGGGCTGGCTTTACTTGGTGTCTGAGAGTAAAACAGACCATGCTGACCTCTGAGAGACAATGAAGGAGACGTCTGGCAGATTTTTCATCTGTAAGTACAGATTATTTCTCTGTATTCTTGCTTGATTTTCAAACTTTGTTGAATTCTACAGGATGGGCTGCAGGCCTGAGCCTAGCAGAACGAATGTTAAACGTTTAAAATAATGTTTCCTTCTGTGACATATGAAGGGAACATGTACATGTGCATAGAAATGTCTTTATATTTAAAATAATCAGTAGTTAACTGAACACTATTTTCTTCTGTTTGTTAGTTCTGACCTCTGTGCTGTGCTGCACCACAAACCAAGGTTGGTTCACTTCCTGTTTGCATTAAATATTTTTCAGTGAGATAAATTAAATGAGGGATTGCTTATGATAAAGCTGATCAAATGATCAATAAATGCTGCTGCATCCATCTGGCAGTTTAGTATAGAAGGATCATACAAACACCAAGCAGAAAGAGCCCAGGTCACTATTGTTCACTAACGGATAATTAGTTTATCATAGCTGAATAAAGTGGTTTCTTATTCTGTTGGATTCAATGATCAGACTGGTGATTCTTTTTTTCAGCTGGTCTGACTGTGAGTCCCAGCAGATCTCAGTTCTTTGAGGGAGAATCAGTGTTTCTAAGCTGTGAGGAGGGGGGCCGCTCTACTGGATGGACCCTATGGAGGAGCATCAGCAAAGAGACCGGCTCTCCGATTGACTGGGAAGGTAAAAACAGTTCCTCATGTAAGATTAGTTATATCGTCCCAT